GGTGTCTAGAAACCTCGTGCGTTCTGGCCGTGTCCGGCGCCAATGCTGGATGGAAAACCGGACCCGCCCTGAGTATGGCATGTCCGCGCGGGCCGCGAAGCGAGTCCACGGACTGCGAGTGAGCCCCCGCGCGCCTGGCCCCTCGGAGCTAGATGCCAGCCCGGCCGCCCGTGGCGGTCGCGGCTAGGCTTGGAGTCCCAGTGCCGCAAGGCCTGGTGCCGCAAACCCCCCGGGTAGGCCCTCTAGCTGTTAACCTCTCCTAGCCTAGAGCCGACGCCGCCCTCGCCACCCTCACGACCAACCTCCGCTGCGACGGCTAGGGGGCGGCCTCCGGCCGCCACCTGGCTCGGCTCGCCAAGGTACCCCACGAACCCCCCTGGATAAGCCCACCCTAGAGCCGACGCATACGATCGACGATGGCGAGTCGCGGAGCTCCGCTATCTGGCAGTAACTTGGCGATGCGAGCTGCTGTCCTGGCGCTCTGCGCGCTGTCGTCTACGGCGTTCCGAGCGCCGCGCCGGCTTTCGGCGTCGCCGCGGCGATGCGCCGCGCCCTGCGGCGCGCTGCCCGGCGGGGCGTCGTTCAGCGTCGAGGTCTGCAATTGCGACGCCGCGCTGGCCATCGACGGGAAAGCCTGCGACGACGCGCGGGACGGCGACGTCTGGGTCGCCGCCAAGGAGACGGCGGCGCCGGCCTTCAGCCTGAGCGCGGCGATGGAGGCCGCGACGACGGACGCGCCGACCGTCGTCGTCGGCGCGCCCGCTGCCGTCGGCCGGCTCCGGCCGCGGCGCGGCGGCGCGGCGCCCGTCGTCGACGTGCTCCGCACGTCCATTCCCAAGGAGCAGACGGAGCGCTGCGCCGAGGCCCAGGCCGCGGTGCTCACGAAGCTGTTAGAGCTCTGGCTCGAGTCGCTCGGCGACGGCGACCACTTCGAGGATCTACGCGCGTCGGCGACGATCCACACGGCGGCGGCGCTCGAGAGCTTCGGCTTCGCGGAGATC